GGGTTTAGGGTTTAGGGACATCTTGAATACTGGTTTCGATTCATCATTCCTTCGTGCAGTCTAAGCCGGGACGCGGCTGTACAAGCCTTCGTTGTTCATCTTCGGCAAGCTGTCAGCATCAGCACCTTGACAACAAAGACGTGAGCTTGTTATAAGAGAAATGGGAGCAACAGAAAGAAGGTACCGCGATAGAGAGACCCTGACAATCGCAATCCGTTGTGTAAGGACATCCCAGCTTGTAAACGTTTCCAAACATCCGCCGGATGAGGAGATTGGGGCATCGGCCAAGCCTAGAGGTTGTAGTATGAACAGAAACACGAATATAGATATGGGGGGATTCACACAAACAGTAGGTTAGCCCAGGTCCCTTCAAGGCTCCGGAGGCAGGGTCCGTAGCAATGTAGGATATAACAGGTTATATGTACATGTAGGTCCCGTTGAGAGAGCTCTAACCAAACCCTAAACCCCTAGTGTTGGGGCCTTAATATTTAGAATAGCAATAACATAGGTAATTATTGAGGCCCNNAGGCCCCTATATTAGACCCTAAGCCCTAAACAGCAGACCGCTCAACCCCAAACCACTGGTTACAACCAGACTCGCATGTTGAGGCAGGCAACGACGCTTCCGCCAGACTTGGAGTCGTTCGTCAAAGCTCTCCGCCAGACCTGCACATAGGGTAGTTTCCAGGGCCTGGAGCTTGTAGGGTTTTAGGGTTAGTTGTAGTTTCCGTTATGAGCGTAAAATTCTTGACCCTAAACCCCTAAACCCTGAACCCTAAAAACCTTGACCCTAAACCCTGCACCCTGAACTGCAGTCAGGGTTTGAAGCGTTTTCGCTTAAGACCAGAGGGTTCCTTGGAAGGAGCCAAAACATGGTACAAAAAGAGGCGCTGTAGGGCGGTTCATGCTTTGGTGTGCTAGGTTGGGTTTAGGGCTTTGGGTTTGGGGTTTAGGGTTTAGGGTTTAGGGTTTAGGGCTTAGAGTTTAGAAGCTTACGGCTTCGGACCTCAGCGTTCTTGCGCTGCGGGCAGTTGTAAGCATGCCCTTGAAACCTTGAATGCTTCGCAGCTCTAGTCTGAGACTCTCCGCAGAAATAACAAGCTTCTTGAAGATCATCGCAAAAAAAGAGAAGGGGCACGCCAAAAAGGAGAGTGGGGGCTTTACAGGTAGAATAGGGTTTGGGGTGTATTCTACTATAATTCTGAAGGGATGATAAGGGAATATTACTATTATTCTTACCCATAATTATTCCGACCTCCAGATTAACCACCTGAACACGAACCTAAGGAAAGCAAATGTAGGGGCCTAAATAATTACCAATACTAGTTTGGTGGCTCCTTATTACAACTATAGTAAAACCTATCCCGTAACCCTATTCTAACTTTTCGCCTGCTAAAGCTTCCGGGTGCTCTCCAGGGCCGGATCGCGAACAAAAACAACGAAAACTAGCAAGTCTTGCACCCTGAACCATGTGGGCCTTAATAATGAGAATAGGGTTTTGGGGCCCATTATACTATGACTAGAAGAAGGGAACCCCCAAGATAGTAGAGGTAATTCTTGAGGCCCCGACATTACCCTAGAGTCTAAACCCCAAACCCTAAAGCCCTAAAGCCCTAAACCCCTAAAGCCCTAAACCCTAAAGCCTAAACCCTAAACCCTAAACCCTAAAACCTAAAGCCCTAAACCCTAAAGGCCCTAAAGCCCTAAACCCTCAACTGTTATAGCCTTATAAGGAAACCTGAGCTCCTCTAGACACCCCGAAGGCTTCTCGCAATGCTGTGCCTTGGTGTTCAGAACATATGAAACTTTCCGGCCTTTCTTGGGCTGGTTTAGGGTTTAGGGTTTAGGGTTTAGGGTTTAGGGTTTCAGAAGAAGGATCTGGCACACTATTTGGGATCGGTACTGCAGTCCCTTCTCTGATGATGCTTGCACATCCCACTGGTATAAAATCCCCAACCCGCATCCCAAGATGCTGTGGGGCCGCGAGCATGGACGTTCATTACAGGGCAAGACCACACGCCACTAAGCATGCGAGCTTCCACCATGAACCCTCTCTTTCCCCCTTAGTCCTGTTCTAGGGATAACTCACAGCACCCCTGCAATCCAACTGGATCTTAACAATTAGAGACTTTGGGGTATATTGAAGAATAGCTACAGGCTAGACGGCCCTCTGACTGCTAGCAAGCCAGACTTCTACATGGGGGTTTCCGAAAATAGGGGACCCTAATATAGCGCCCTAAATAGTAGGATCCCTATTATGAGGACCCCAAAATAAGGTACCCTAATTTTCGGAAACCGAAATGAAGACAATGGAGGTTTTGGGGGGTACTGAAATATACTCATATTAGGGATGCCGATGAGGGGATATACTCATATTAGGGATGCCGGTGAGGGGATATACTCATATTAGGGATGCCGATGCGGGGATTCTTTCACCAATGATTCCGACCCATAGAGTAGCTAGGGCTCAAGGAATCGATGCTGGCACGTTGCCCACAGAGAGTCCCGGCTTCCCCGTTGCCTGTTCCGAGGCCGCTGTAAGCAGGTGGAATAGGGTATAGGGGCCTTGATACTTGATAGTTACCTATAGTCTCCATTGTAGTTCCTTTTTTTGGTTTAAGCAATTATAAATCAAGGATTCTATAAGGTATCCCCAGAAAGGAACCACAATGGAGACTATGGGTACAAGAAGGTTCTACAAGGATTCATGTCAAGGGATGCTGCAGAGGTCTCGTATAAAGGGGCCCAGCGACTCGAGTAGGTGCCTTGGGATGTGTTAAAACTTAGAAAAGGCCCGAGGAATACTATTCAGACCCCTGCACCGCAGGATAAGCCCAACCGGTTTAGGGTTTAGGGTTTAGGGGTTTAGGGGTTTAGGGTTTAGGGTTTAGGGTTTAGGGGGCCCAACCCCATGCTTCCAGGGACCCTCTTATTTGGGTCCTTAAGGACTTAAGGGGTCCAGGGCCCTAACTATAAGTCCTTGGAAGCATGGGGCAAGTACAACCTGCGTGCTAAGTCACGTGGGCGGCGTTGTGGAAGTGGAAACTTTTCAAGCGAAGATTGAAATAATGTAGGGGCCTTAATGCTTAGAACAGGGTTTTGGGGCCCGTTATTCTTTAATCCGAACAAGGAACCCCTAAAAATAGTACTGGTAATTCAGGCCCCTACATTATGATTTCATCTTAGGATTCTAGGATTCTGGCTGGGGCTTGAGATTGACTTATGGTGTCCAGAGCTTGCAGCCTACCTCAAGAACCCAAAACCTACTTTTTTGTAGGGTCCCTATAAATCCCATATTAGGGTTTATCATAAGAACCTACAAAAAAGCGGGTTTTGGGTTCTTAAGGTAAACCCTAAACCCTGAACCCTACAACTCCAAACCCAGCCTCCCAACCACTCCCCCAATGGAGGCCCACACAAGTCATCGGGGAACAATTAGGGGTTGGGTTTTTGGTACAGAGACTATCTAAGCACAATGGGCTTCTGGACCGGCCCTTGACCTGACTCTGCTAAGCTGACTTCTGTCTAGGACATTTTCAGGTCGGTAGGTACCGTTCTAGGAGCCTTATAGAAGGTCTATATATGATCCCGGTTCGGCCGG